AACCAACTACAGCCAACTACAGCCAACAACAACCAACAACAACAACCAACAACCGACAACAGCCGACAACAACAACCAACAACAACCAACAACAGCCAACAACAACCAACAACAACCAACAACAACCGACAACAACGGACAACAACCGACAACAACCAACAACAACCAACACCAACCAACAACAACACCCAACAACCGACAACAACACCCAACAACCGACAACAACCGGCAACAACAACCAACAACAGCAAACAACAGCCAACAACAACGGACAACAACCGACAACAACCAACAACAACCAACATCAACCAACACCAACCAACAACAACACCCAACAACCGACAACAACACCCAACAATCGACAACAACACCCAACAACCGACAACAACACCCAACAACCGACAACAACCGACAACAACAACCAACAACAACCAACAACACCTGACAACAACCGACAACAACCAACAACGCCCAACAACAACCAACAACAACCAACAATAACCAACAACAACCGACAACAACCGACAACAACATCCAACAGCCAACAACAACCCACAGCAATCAACAATAACAACCAACAACCGACAGCAACAACCAATAACAACCAACAACCGACAGCAACAACTAATAACAACATCAACAACGACGACGATAACGACGACACCAACCGACAACAACATCAACAACAACCAACAACAACCAACAGCAAACGACAACAACCGACAACAACCGACAGCAACAGCCACCAACAAAATCAACAACAACGACGATAACGACGACAACAACATCAACAATGACGACGACGATAACGACGACAACCACAACAGTGTCCGGTAATGTGTGGTAGAGAATGGCAGTCAGCCAGACTGAGTACAGTTGAACATGTATAATAATAATAACACATTTCGCGTAGTTGAGCACTAAATAAAGAAATTCAGTGTTTTTCCCACTTCTGTCTTGTGAGCATCATCAGCAAGGTGTAGTAGCTGCTGATACTGATTTGTCCTCGAGTGTCGAGCTGCACAGTTTCTTCCAGTCTGTCTTGTCCTCTGCTTGTTGCCGGCACCTGGAAAGGTCTTCCATGGTCTTCATGGGCACACCCAGCTTATTCAACTGAGCGAGCAGACTTGTGGCTAGTGTCAACCTTGGCCGCCCACGGGGTGCTTTGTTACCCTTGTCCAAAGAGCCGCTCATGGCTACTTAGGGTGGCGTGTCCGTGTCCGTCTGTAGCACATGACTGGTCATTCGTAGTCGCCTACATGCAGCTGTGTCATGTATTACTACAAGAACTCAACCAAGTCCTCAGCAGTCATGGAGTAGCGGCAGGTTAGGCAAGTAGGGCTGGGGGGCAGAACTGATCCACTCCTTGATGCAGTGGAAGTGAAATTCATGACTGCACTCCAACTTGGATAGAGGACGGTCCAGGGTATCCTGACAAATCACACAAATGGACTCATGACTTATTGCTGACGAGTCTACCTTAGTAGGCACTACATTGATGTACTGCAGCTCCATGGGGTGTATTGCCTGGTCTTGATGGTGGTCACCGTAATACACCCCGTTGAGGTACCACTGATAGACACCCTCCTCCTCCTGAGAGATGAAAGCAGGTCCATCTTCCCTATGCCGAAGGTTGTATCGGTACCACTCCCGTACACGATTGTTACCTTCCCTGCGTATCACCGCTGGCGCATTCTCCCTGTGGAGCCTTCCGTGGTGTAACCACCGTAGAATACAGCATGTGGCGTCACAATAACTGACTGCAGGACCGCCGGCTCTAGATGCCGTTGAGGTAGTACTCGATGCTACCCCGTCCTATCCAAGCAGGTTCATTAACGCGATGAAGGCGACCTCCATAGCACCAGGCGGGCACTCCCCTACTATCAACAAGAGCTGGTCCGTCCTCCCGATGGAGTCTACCATCGACGTGCCAAATTTCTTGCTGCGCGTTTTGATCTGCCAACTCCACAACAGTTCTTATTGGCGTCCGCCTTTCTATTAGTAAAGGACCCGTGGTGAGAGACCACGACCGGTCGTCCACGTCTACACCGAATGTATCAGCCATATCTATTTACAGGTCTGCTCTCGATATAACAACTCTCACTTGTACATAAACCTCGTTAGTACATACAAAAATCAAATCCCGCGCCGAAACAGCATCACTCCCACACAAAATTTGTTCTACACAACATAATCCTACATAACATAAACCTCGACATAACACACGCTACGGCGGTCCCCGACGTGCGCACTCTCGATACAACATAAATTCAAGTGCATGGTATGATCAAGCGGTAGCTGTAGCTAGGCAGTTTAGGCCAGTTTAGTCCTACATAACGTAAACCTCGGCATAACGCACCCTATACGCGCAGTACAACGTAGATTCACGTGCGCGGTACAATCAAGCTGTAGCCGTAGCTAGCCAGTTTAGTCCTATTGTGCATATTTTCTGCAGCATTGATGGTATCTGATGTCGATGGTGGTACAGTGTGTATATGTTTGCACGGTTGAACCCGCCTTGTAATACCCTTCATTTTGAGGTGCATCTTGTATTTCACACACGGTTTTCTACATAACATAACTCTCGATATAACATAATGTTTGCGTGGTCCCAGAGATTACGTTATATGGAGAGTAGACCTGTACTGAGAATAATGTAACAACTCCTCCACAAACGCTTCTACAACTGACGTCTTCTTCATCCCCAGATAGGCGTTAGCCTTTGGGTAATCCTGAAATAAAGATTATTATTATTATCCTGGGTTTTTTTTTTCCTCTTGGTGGTTTTGGATAAGAGTTGAAAAGTCCAAAAGGTCAACTGATGACCTTTGCATTACTTGGTATGATTGGATTTTAGCGGATGATGTCGGTATGCAGCTGGGGAGCGAATTCGACAGGAAGAAGGTAAAGGCCTTGCTTTGCGGTTCACACCTTCACTTCAGTATCATTACAGTCCAAATGGCGTTCACTTGTCACTGTAGCGTTCGAATGTCAGGGGTAATACCCCTATTCCAACATCTGAGGCGGTGCGTCAAGCGCCGCCTCTTTCTCATAGTATATTGCGACAATTGGTAAGTGTGCAGTGCTCCTAGCTCTCTCCCCCAACAAAAGAGCTCTATGACACTGTGCTTTCTGCGGTTTCTTTCGTTTTTACAGTGGAGAAAGGCTGGTGGGAGGCCAGGCCGTGGCCGCACACCTGGCGGGTGCGGCCCATCGAACCCGTTACTGGGAGGGCCGGCAAGTCGGGCTGCTGTTGCAGTCCGACTACCGGGACGCCATGGAGCGTATCCGGACCCTGTAAGTAAGCACTGCTCTGTCTACATGTATACTTATCCCCCTCGTTATAGCGATACTTACTTGTTTCGTATCCTCTTGTCTTACCCTGCTTCCGTATTCGTGACACTAATAGTGTTTGTGTGCGCTCATGCTTGGTTTTACAGATGATGATGATGTATGTATGAAGGTCTGGAGCTAGCTGCCGTCTTCGGGATGTGCCATTTGTTTTCAAAATTATTTGTAAGTACTTGTAACAGGCGTAGTGTAGTAACTGTGTATGCAGTGTAGTAACAGTGTGTAGTGTTTTGTGATGGTCCTGAGCGGTCGTTATGTGTTTTGTGATGGTCCTGAGCGGTCGTAATGTGTTGGGCTACTGAAGTACACTGCATGAAGGGGTATGTGTGGGTGCTTCGACATATTCTCGTGCTTCCTAAACCCTAGATACGTGTATAGCACTATAACCTAGATGTGTGTGTGTGCGTGTGTGCGTGTGTGTGTCCGCGCATGCGTGCGTGTGCGTGCATTGTGTTCTCTTCTACAGACTCATCCAAGTCAATTATTTAAATAAAAGTGTATTATAGTAAACAGTATTGTGTTTTGTTATGGTGAATATGTGGGGAATGGTGGACATGCCTTAGTGTGACTGGATACCCGCGGGTTGTGACTCTTTGCTGGCCACTCTGGATTCTCCAGTATAGATTCGGTACAGTGCAGAGGGGATTTGTGGTGCGTAGCAACACTGCTTCACTGTGACACCCCTTCAATAATTGTTTTGATGCATGATACTGCGGGCGTAGCCGGTTGATCCTAACTGAATTCCGATCAAAATAGAAATATGCATCTATTGCACCTGCATGGACAGTAGGCATTTCCCAAATCGGCCGGCCGAAAAATTCGCCGAAAAAAGTGGTTTTGAAGAAATTACCCATCTTTTCGCCGAATGTTCAAAAATTCGCATGTTGAATTCGCCGAAAACCGATGCTTCAGTGCTTCAACAGGGTGTATGTGAATGTACATGACGTAATGGGAACGGTGACTTCAAGTACTATGTTGAGCCGAATTCTGATCTTGGAGCTCATAATATGGCCGAATTTGAACATTCTCTTAACCGATCGAAAAACCGATTAGGCATGCTCTGTATGGGCAACTTGTCAGTGCACATCTACGATGTGTGAATAAAACGAATGCACGGAACGTGAACTTTGTTTGCTGCACATCTACGAAGTGCGAATCAGGGAGTAGTATAATGACACGTATACTAGTACACCTTGTGTTGCACTGCGTCTTTCCCGCAGGGTCTCTGAAGGTCGCACGCTCCGCGTGCTTATGCACGCATGCGCAATATGTCACTGCACATCTACGATGTGCAAATCAGGGAATAGTACGTATTTTACTACTCCCCGGTGCAATGAATGCACCGAACGTGCACAAGTGCACGGTCGCCACGGAAAAGAACCTTTATGGCACATTTATGACATGGCAGGGCCAAAGGTCAAACCCTAGGGGGTCCCGAGGCCAGACCAAGCGCGCCCGATACAGTGTGCCTTATTTAACCCAAAGGTCAAAGGTCAAACCCTGGGGGAGTCCCGGGGCCAGACCAAGCACGAGCGACACAGTGTGCCTTATTTGGCCCAAAGGTCAAAGGTCAAAAAGTGGGCCAGAACCCGCCCCGCACTTACTACTGGCGCAGCAGTGAACACGTCAAGGAGAAAGAAGCGATGGCATGAGGAGATGGAGATGGAGGATGATGATGGGGATGAACAGGATGATCAGGAGGAAAGCAAGGGTGAGCAGGAACAGGAAGTGGAGGATGAGAGTGATACGGACGAGGAGGAGTTCGACATCGACAAGAGCAAGTCTGCCATCTACAAGCATTTGGTGTCCAGTCCGGATTGTCGTAAGTTGTTTGACGATTCATGGTTAAGTGTTATTTGTCACGCGCGTTTCTTTAAGCAGTTGCAGGTGTTGGAAGCTGTATATATTCGCACACGTGACCCTGTTCTATGCAAGCAAAAAGAAAATGTTGTAGCACTCACACTTTTTAAATGATACGCACTCACCAGTTTTTGTTCACACGCACTCACAGCTGCCACATTCATCTACTGCTACCATTCTCAGATACACTGCAAAGGTTCACACTACACGCGTTATGCATAACCGCTAGCTGTGCTGCATTCTCACGCTTCTTTTCATATTACTCTAGCTATATAACTGGTTGTTTTAGTGATTCTTACTATGTGACGATGTTCCACTGATGATGGTCACACGAAAACGTTCTGGAATTGTTTCATTTTAATTGTTTATACATGGTTATGAGTGCACAATTGATATTTTTCATTGCTATTTTACGACTGTTGTCTCCTCGTCGGTTATTTAGATCCATTGTTTGTTGACATATATATATATATACACACAACAACAAGGTTGTCAATTTCATAATACTAAAAGCTTTTCACCCATTTTCATCAGTAGTTACATGGGAATGAGCAAGAACGAAAACGAAGCCAGAATTTATACTGGGGGTAGAGAATCAGCAAGAATATTCTTACGCGCCTCAAGTTCACACTACACTACCATAAGAATGTATGGAGCAGTGGAAAATGCGGGAAACAACACAACACATGGCGCTATCACTTGTTGCCACACGTTTGTCAGGCGGCTTCTTGTACAGCTTGTCTGGGATATGCTGCTTGATCCTTTCCGAGAATCGCTGACATGTCTCACCAACGTACGTCCGCTCACAGCGACACATACTTATAAATAAAATTACTGTTTTCAAGAGTTGGTGAAACATCCTTCGCGATAGACCTGAATGCGGGTCTGGTTGTACAAATTACAATGGGGGATACTGTAGGGGGATAGGGGGGGGGGGGGGATACTGTAGGATAGCAGTTGTGTGGCAACAAGTGATAGCGCCATCACAAAGCATTTGCAGGCGCAACCTGAATGCATCCCGCAGGAACGCAACAGCAGCTTCAGTGTCATCACACCAGCCCGGAACAGCGCGCACAGATTCACACTGGAGGCGCTGTACATTCGCAGTTTGAGGCCAGAGCTGTGTCGACAAAAGAAGCACATCAAGGTGCTACGGCTGTTCAAGCTGCAACCGGACTGACAACTTTATCACGTGTTTGTTCAGGTAACTGCATTCCCCTCATGTGTTGTTTCCCGCATTTTCCACTGCTCCATACATTCTTATGGTAGTGTAGTGTGAACTTGAGGCGCGTAAGAATATTCTTGCTGATTCTCTACCCCAGTATAAATTCTGGCTTCGTTTTCGTTCTTGCTCATTCCCATGTAACTACTGATGAAAATGGGTGAAAGCTTTTAGTATTATGAAATTGACAACCTTGTTGTTGTGTGTATATAAATTTTGTTCGCCTACATCTCTATTTATATAATATATATACCCAATGCTGTAGACAGCAAGCTGTTTCGGCCATAAAGGCCTCATCAGTACAGCTACGAGCTAAATAGGCCGAGCTACCAGCCATGGTGCAAAGGAGGCACCACAGACATTAAGGTAGCTCGTCGCTCTAGCGCCAGAGTGCTCAAACTACAAAATGTAGCGGGCATTGTAGCGGGCATTGCATATATATACGCAGATTGTGTATATATATATATATATATTACAGCATGCTGTCCGCAGATTGAGTATATATATATATTATATACTCAATCTGCGGCCAGCATGCTGTTTCGTTCTTTTTGAACTCATCAGCGCAGCACAGAGGAAATGAGGCCGAACCTGATAGCATGGAAATAAAAATTTCCCATCAGGCCCGAACGTACCTTGCCAGAGTGCTCAAACTGACAAGTCAGTGAGCTCTGCATAACGCAAACAGCAAAGGCACTACCCCACGCAAGAGTGCTCAACTGCTACAAGAGCAGGAGCGAAATACTCAATCTGCGGACAGCATGCTGTTTCGTTCTTTTTGAACTCATCAGCGCAGCACAGAGGAAATGAGGCCGAACCTGATAGCAATGGAAATAAAAATTTCCCATCAGGCCCGAACGTACCTTGCCAGAGTGCTCAAACTGACAAGTCAGTGAGCTCTGCATAACGCAAACAGCAAAGGCACTACCCCACGCAAGAGTGCTCAACTGCTACAAGAGCAGGAGCGAAATACTCAATCTGCGGACAGCATGCTGTTTCGTTCTTTTTGAACTCATCAGCGCAGCACAGAGGAATGAGGCCGAACCTGATAGCAATGGAAATAAAAATTTCCCATCAGGCCCGAACGTACCTTGCCAGAGTGCTCAAACTGACAAGTCAGTGAGCTCTGCATAACGCAAACAGCAAAGGCACTACCCCACGCAAGAGTGCTCAACTGCTACAAGAGCAGGAGCGAAATACTCAATCTGCGGACAGCATGCTGTTTCGTTCTTTTTGAACTCATCAGCGCAGCACAGAGGAAATGAGGCCGAACCTGATAGCAATGGAAATAAAAATTTCCCATCAGGCCCGAACGTACCTTGCCAGAGTGCTCAAACTGACAAGTCAGTGAGCTCTGCATAACGCAAACAGCAAAGGCACTACCCCACGCAAGAGTGCTCAACTGCTACAAGAGCAGGAGCGAAATACTCAATCTGCGGACAGCATGCTGTTTCGTTCTTTTTGAACTCATCAGCGCAGCACAGAGGAAATGAGGCCGAACCTGATAGCAATGGAAATAAAAATTTCCCATCAGGCCCGAACGTACCTTGCCAGAGTGCTCAAACTGACAAGTCAGTGAGCTCTGCTTAACGCAAACAGCAAAGTCACTACCCCACGCAAGAGTGCTCAACTGCTACAAGAGCAGGAGCCAAATACTCAATCTGCGGACAGCATGCTGTTTCGTTCTTTTTGAACTCATCAGCGCAGCACAGAGGAAATGAGGCCGAACCTGATAGCAATGGAAATAAAATTTCCCATCAGGCCCGAACGTACCTTGCCAGAGTGCTCAAACTGACTATATATATATGGGATGACGACTACACCATAGCTCAGTGGTTAGAGCATCGCTGGCTGCAAGCGAGGGTCCCGTGGTTCGAGTCCTGGTGGTGACAGTCAATTTTTTTTTCAGACTTTTCCCTTTTGTCTCTTTCCCTCAAACCAGTTAATATATATATAAATATACTCAATCTGCGACAGCATGCTGTTTCGTTCTTTTTGAACTCATCAGCGCAGCACAGAGAAAATGAGGCCGAAACTGATAGCAATGAAAATAGAAATTTCCAATCACGCCCGAACGTACCTTGCCAGAGTGCTCAACTCAAACTGACAAGTCAGTAAGCTCTGCATAACGCAAACAGCAAAGGCACTACCCCACGCAAGAGTGCTCAACTGCTACAAGAGCAGGAGCGAAATACTCAATCTGCGGACAGCATGCTGTTTCGTTCTTTTTGAACTCATCAGCGCAGCACAGAGAAAATGAGGCCGAACCTGATAGCAATGAAAATAAAAATTTCCAATCAGGCCCGAACGTACCTTGCCAGAGTGCTCAAACTGACAAGTCAGTGAGCTCTGCATAACGCAAACAGCAAAGGCACTATCCCACGCAAGAGTGCTCAACAATATATCTCGGTAGATGGTATGT